CGAGACTTTGACGTTACGACAAATTTCTGCCAAGCTGGCATTACTTCTATGTCTCGTATCCTTCCATAGGGTTTCCGATAATCGAGCATTTGACTACCATGCTGTAGTTTTCGTGCCTGAGAGAGTTAAATTTAATATCACCAGAAATACGAAGACTAATTCCTCCTCAGTCTTCTACCCTTATTTTCCGAACAGACCGTCATTCTGCGTGGCTCGTTGTGTTCGACACTATAAAGATACCACCGCCACACTGCGTTCCCCTACGGGACACCTTCTGGTTTCTTACGTCAGACCGCACAAGAAGGGTCTCCACCCCCACTGACATACGGTGGATCAGATGGATACTAGCCCAAGCAGGGATTGATCCATCCTTTGGAGCACATTCAGTCAGAGGAGCAGCCGCATCCTCAGCCTTTCGTGCAGGCAGTTCCCTCTCAGACATACTGTTATCTGCGTATTGGTCCAGGGAATCGACATTTCGTACCTTCTATTTTATAGCAGCATTAAACCAGCAAATATGAAGCCTCCTGGCTTGCCATAAATTATTTAGCTCTAGTGAATGAATAATCTACATTTTATTAACGACAAGAGGCAAATATCCCCCCCCCCTTTTATATCACTTATTACTACCATTTAAGGTAAGTTATTAGATAAGTTAAAAGTGTTTATCCGTTCCAACGTAAATATACACACCATCTGCCATAGGTTTACATTATAGTATCTTGTTCAAGAATTTGTCTTTCTTTCACTAATATTTAATATGAACTATGCCAAAGATTGCTGTTCACTGTATGTATTTTCATAAACTTGGTTTTCTCCCATACTCATGGATACTCATGGATTCTCTCTGTTTCCTTTTAGTGTGAAGACCTTTCTATGGTTGTTGTAAGTGAAGTCGACAACTCAGTTCTCAGTTTACAAGATTGACCAAGCACCAGACCTGCTGTTTCGTCCATTGTTCATGTAGTTATATCGTTTACATGGTTGATACTCTGCTACATTCGGCTACAGCAAGAAAGAGGAATTGGGAGGAGCTTGATGACATCATATAATATTGTTATACACTCTGATTGGTTAAACTTTTTACATCATTGGTAACTACTTCTTTGCTGCTAGGAGGTTCAGTAAAGAAAGATAAGCAAATATTCGCCTAAATTTAGATTATTCATTCACTAGAGCTAGAACAATCCCTAATTTTACAACATGACAGGAGGCTTCCTATTTTGCATCAACTCTCTTTGCTAACTCCGTAGCAGCAAAGAAAAAAACATCAAGAATAAAGAACCAATCAATCAACAGCAGAGTATATAAATGTCATATTGAACTAAGCTCATCCTCTTTGCTGCTCCATCTGCAGACAAGGCTCTATTATGTATGTTTACCTTTTGATCTGTATATGTTCCTATCATAGGGTTTTTTTCTTCGAGTCTATCCATTTTTTTCCTTATTTAGGGTTACCCTGCTCTGGATCAGTATATACTTATCTTGTGTACCTGATTTCTCTGTCTGGGGGCTTTCATCTCCCTCAGCGCGAGTAGTTGGACTCCTCTGGGTCTGCTAGGGTACACCTAGTCTTTCTCTGGCACTGTTGGATTGTTCCCATATCCCTCTGGGCTTTACTTTGCGGACGCGACTGTTCATGGCTCCCCGTCTGCCGGTGATCTGAGACCCGCGAACTACAAGCCCCGGCTTATCGCGGCCTTCTCTTGCGGTGGCCATCTCGCGTCTTGCGAGATCCATGCAGCCATTTTAATTTTGCCGCGACTGGATCCTTCCCTCACACTCTGCCAGATCTGCTCCCATACAGAGACTCATCGGAGCTGTTTTACACTGCCTAAGCTAAGAATACCACTCTGGCTGGGGTCATTCAAATCACTGATGCTGCCTGTCAATATTGTGGAGTGCACTTAAGGGCCCCAATCCCTGTGCACCTGGGGTGAGCCGCCATTGTCTTAATGACCTATTGTGCTGCTGAGTGGGAGGCTTGCCTTTGAGGCCTCTGTCACTGGGTGAGCCACAGTTTTCTTAGGCCACCATAATTACCCTGCTTGGGTCCCTGACACAGGTTAATACCCACCTGTTGCATTTATCTATTCCAGTTACTCTGACCCCACGCCTGATTTACCACAAGACCTGGGTGCCATTCTGTACTACCTACTAGGAGACTTGAGCCATAAGCCTACCCTCACACTATGGAAGACTCCCAGAGTACCCCGTGGACTTCCAAACTATGATTAATGCGGCTGTAGCCGCGTCTGTGGAGAAGGCACTATCTAAGGTGCTGACTACGGGTTCTGAACTACCCAAGACCACTGCCTCCAGGCATCCCCGGACTCTGAGGCCTAGGACTCCCACGCTAGAGACGATTCTCTTGGCCCAAACAACCCAAGGGTAAGGCTCCTGCTGAACACAGTAAGACCTCAAACACCCCAACCCCGCTACAAGACCCCTCTTCGGAGGAGGACCAGGCCTTTCTACGCTCCATGTCCATCCTAGACGAATAGCGAGCGGACTTATCTAATTCGGATGATGACGCATGGGGTTCGGAGGATAAATCTATCTCCGCTATTGTGCGTGAGACCATTCTGGGTGAGACCCAGGCGGAGATGGGTGACGGTCCTGCGGACACGGATACCCCACTCGATTCTGGACCCGGCAGGCCAGAATATGTTTGACCCACGAAATATATGTCATCCCCGCTCAGGGGATTGGTCATCACCGGGGCACCTCTCCAGATTTATGCAGCCATGGCTCTTCAAACCTCTAGAGAAAGAGGTCCGCAACCGACTCCGGTCAGAATGCCCACTGTGACGGAACGCTGGCACTCCGACTGAGTACCTCCGCCAATCGATGCTCCTAGTGCTTGCTGAGGACTCCAAGCACTCCAACCGACACCATCAGCACTGCAGACCCCACTTCCAGCGATGCAACTGCGCCGGGGTCTCTGCTGTCTCCACCCACCCTGGACCCAAGGCCAGGATCCAGCTTCCAGTGGGTGAACCTCTCTTTCCCCAGAGAGCAGGAACAGGAACAAGCTCTTAGCAGAACTTAGTGATCATACCCTGGGGAGTATAGTGATTATAGCAATCCCCAGAGTGTATTTCTCCAATCCCCCGAAACATGAGCCAAGGCTTAATGCTGGAACAAGACTGATTTACTGGCACACAGAACTCACAATTTATGCAACACAAAACTCCTCCTCTGGGCCAGGCTAGATAATTGAGTTTCTACAATACACAAAGCTCAATTATCTGCTGGCCAGAAATAATACAGTTTTAACAGCATATTCATAACTTCTAAAATATACATTACATTCACATAAAAAATATATATTTACAATCAATCCATTCAGGGAAACAACATATCAAAAAATGGCATGAATCAGACCAGGGGTTAAGAAGTTAGTAAAATATCTTTTGGGTCCTGGCTGGCAGCATGGCTATCTGGCCCAAACTGGTTTTACAGAGCCCTCTAGCCTGGAGACAATGGGGAAAGTAATCCAATTATCCAGGGATAGAAGCAGACTCCATTGCGCACATGTTCCCAGTAAAACACAAAAGGATACAAAAATACATAACTCCTATCCCTCTGAATTGAACGGGCCAAATCTCCCAGGGTCTATAGTCACAGGGCAAGAGGCGGGCAAGCAGTCCTCTCCAGGCACAAGTGGCGAAGGGCACTTCGTCACACCCACGCCATCTGAATTTGACAAAGTTATGTTGACCTTCATGATGAGGGGTGGACACGACCCTCGTAGAGGTGTGGAAAGAGGATTCTGGGGTGCCCAGGACAAGCTATTGGACTCCATCAGACCACTCTCCCGAATCATGTACGACAACGTTAGGTCGGATACCTTATCATCTAAACACCATTGGAAGGGCTCCAACGCGGCTTCTCTAAAGGGGAAAGGGAACACCCTGACTTAGCGGAGCCGTCTCTCAGAACGTCCTGTCCATTAATCATCTCAGGCTCCATCATCAGGGAGCGAGGACTTCATCCCTTCCCCTTCTCTGGAGATCATGAAAGAATGGAGCGCAGAAGAGTCTCCATCTGAAGAGATAAAGTGACAAGACCTGCCTAGCAAGAAAGGTTTTTCTTTGGCACACTGGACACTCTTGTTTTGACTCACGCACCATCCGACACCCACGGTCTCCTCTCCCTGCACTTTACACTGCCGCTGGGGAATGGAGACTGGGCTCCCAATTCCCTGCATATCACACTGCCGCTGGGGAGAGGAGACTGGGCTCTCTCTGTCCCGCAACTGTAGCTGCCGGTGGAGGTCCACCCACTGTGGCAGCTGACCGTCACCCTCTGCCCGGTACAGCAGAGTCTTGAATACTAGACTCCTCACGAACTTCACGGATTTCTCAGCTGGATTAGGCCCGTAGAAGTTCAACCGCAACCACATCATACGGTCAAATTCCTGTACAGAGTATCTGTACTCCACTGCTGGTTCCATTCTGTTGCTGTCAGGGTCGCTGTACTGAGACATGTGTTGCCCTCAAATTGTAAAATCCACGGAATGGTGTCTCCTGTAGCTGTCCTTCTGGTTGTAGGAACGATCCCGCCGCTTGCCACCAATTGTAACGGACCGTTTTGCACAAAAGGGGTAAAAACCGCTTAGACGATAATCCCCTTTCAGAGACAGGCACAGCTACTGTAGAATCACCAAAACTCACGAACTGAATACAAGTGGATGCTCCAAACTCCCGAACGGCATACAAGGGAATGCTCCAAACACTCGAACTGCATACAAGGGAATGGTCCAAACACTCGAACTGCATACAAGTGAATGCTCCAAACTCCCGAACGGCATACAAGGGAATAAGGTAGCACTCCAAATACACGAACAGGAACCATACGAATTGCTGCTACCAGACGAACAGGAAAAGCTCCCAAGCGGCTTACACTCCTGGCAATCAGTCCTTAGCAGCATACAGTAAATCCCCCCAAAGACGAGACAAGGCTCCGTGTTGAGGGTCAAGCAGTGGTCTGTTTAATGAGGGCTACCTGCCCAGCTTTTATGCAGGTCTCCCACCTGGTGGACACTCCCCTAGGGGACCAAATGGGAGACTGTGACAAGGGACAGACAAGTAGACAAATAGGACACACAGTCACAGTATATTCCCACAATGCATCCTGGCTTCCTCCCCTCTGCCCTGGGAGATAATTGAGAAGTAACTCAATTATCTCCCAAGACAAAGGCAAAACTCCATTACACATGTGGGGACACAAAACCAGTATTATACTTTAAAATACATAAAGTAACATTTACTACATAAAACACAGACATGTAACATATCCCCAGATAGCTCAGGTCTGAGTGCACATTATTAGGTGAATGGCACTCAGACCACACGAATACAGTTTAATTGCCATGGAGCCAAAGTCTTTAATTACACGAATAGGCTCCATGGCATAGCTATCTGGGTTAAAACATTTCCCCCAACACAAAATACCGAATCTACATACATTCGTTAAATTGGTACGAATCAGAACCAGGGGCTGGAGGCTCAGCGGTGCTTAGCTGACACAGTGTCCAGATTTGGCGTAGGAAAGCCGGGCAGAAAAGCGCTGGCTGCCCGGGGAGCTCCAGAACATCGCCATCGTGTGGCGGCTAGGTGTAACCGCGACCACCCAGTAACAGTCAATTAAGCTGCGGTTAACCGCAGCTACTGGGTGGTCAATTGCCGGCACACGCTCGTTCAGGGAGGTAAATGGAGGGCACACGCCAGCTTCTGGGTGGCCAATTAACGGCGCCGGCCGACTTCCCACGGCTCTGGGGAGGCTGATAGAAGTCTGTTTGTTCGGTAGATAGAATCTACCGAACGGCTGTGCAGAAAGGAAGGAATAAATCTTTCTGCACAGTAAAATTAACCATTTAACTGCCGGTCCATAATCCAAAGGCAGAAGGCGGGCAACCAGGCTCCTCCAATGCAATGTGGCGAGATTGGTCTTGTCACAGTCATTTTCTCAGTGTAAGTATAAGGTTTTGGTATTTCAGTATATTTATGGGATGCTTATCTGGTTGGCATGTGTTAGATCCGTGTTGATTATTAAGTATACTATGGTTGTTTAATGTTTCAGTATATTAACTTAATATAAATATAGATACGTATAGTACTGGATTTAATGTGGACAACAGTTGGTTTCCATCACCTTTCACGTATTTCTGTTCTTTTCAGCGTAATCATCATAGATGGATTCGACAAGATAAAGCTGGAAGGTTTCAAGTTATGTTCTACACGTTACTCAGGACTGTTATTTGAATTCCCTGACGTTATAATAGACTGTATTTTGCATCAAAGAAAGAGGAAGTCATGTGACTGTCAGGGCTTTATATATGGATGTGATACCTGTTACTGATTGGTTTAAAGTTTATTGATTGACTTGTGCTGCTGGAGGAATAAAGTAAAGAAAGTTATGCAAAATACTCGCCTCCTGTCATTATTAAAATTAAGATTATAGGTACACTACGTTAGCATAATCTACAATTTTAATGACAGGAGGCGAGTATTTTCCCTCCCTTATTCCCTTCCCCTGATGCTTTCTCAGGGGGTGTCTGGGGAGTTCTGGGATAGATGGTGAATGTTTCTGTACACTATGTTTCCTGTTATCGTTTGGTTTTCCTAGTTTATCATGTTAGTTCTTTTAATTTATCATGTTG